CGCTTTCTCTGTGAATCATCAGCGGCAGAGACTCCCTTCGCAATCTTGTGTTTATGATGAGAGCCAAAAAAAGGGCTGTGCTTTCTCCAGAAGGGGCCTCACACACTGAGACAGAACTGCACTGTGAGCTTGGGCGTCTCTGCAGCACCTACGCCTGTCTCCAGGGAGCCCTGTGAGGAGTGTGGTGGAACCTGGTACAAGCTGTGTCAGCACGGCCACCTTTCCCTTCCTGCAACCTGCACTGTGTCACACCCCTGTTCTAGGCCACCTCCTGATGTGCTGTCCTTCCTGACAGCCAGGCTTGGGGCTTTCCCTCCTAGGCCCATCACTGGCTCCCCAGGATGATTCCCGTCTGACCGTGGGCACTGCCTCCTTGCTCTCGCAGTCACTGCTGCTGTTTATGTAGGCAGGGCCCTCAGCATCTTCCCGGTAATTTTTAGCCACTCTCTCCCCAGTCCCTGCCTGTTTACCATCTGGCTAAGTCACACTGGTTGACTGGTTGTCAGTTGCATCAAAGTCACTGACAGGACTCAGTGTCAGACAGAGAAAGAATTCAGGTATCCAGACTGTTTAAAGCAAAGCTTAGCAAGCTTTCTAATCTATGCTTAGAGGTTTGGTGCCAGAGTTGGGGTTGCTTTCTGGCTATGTTGGCTCTAGGAACCCCTTACTCACACAGGCTGGTGATCTTCGCAAGGAGGCCAACAGTCACATTTTTCTCATTCCGAGAACTAGTCTCAACAGCAGGTCAGCGCTATCAAGGAAGTTCTAGGCCATTTTGAGCTAGACTTGCCCCCGCCAGACAGGCAAATAAAAGCTTGGCTCAGCACCTCTTGAAACATCCTAGGAGTTATAAACAGGATACAACTTAAATGGTAAGCATGAAAGGGGGCGGGAGGCCTGAGTCAGACTTACATCCTAAGCTCTGAGTATACCGACCTGGGACCCGCCCTTCCTGGGATGGAAGCTGAGTGGTTCATCTCTAGCCTGGGACCCGCCCCTCCTGGGATGGAGGCTCTGAGTGGTTCACCTCTAGCTACTTCCCAGAGCATGTGGGCACTGAGTTAGTGGATAACAGGGCTTTGGGCCATAAGTGAATAGCACCTGTATCCAAGAGGCTGAATCTTCTAGATGAGGAGAGTAAGCATGGCCTCCTAGGGCTGGGTGGTTCGGTATCTGCCTCTTCTTGGGCTAGGCAAGTTTTGTTCTCATCAGCTGTCTTATGAACTGGGTCCAGCAGCCTAGCTTTTGGGTATATGCAATGAGGAGAAATGCCCCCAAGAGACAGTCAGGGTTTGGGAAGGTGGTTTTTAACATGGCAAGGGCTGGGTCTTGGGCCTAAGTCTTCAGCAAGCACATGCCACTGTAGACGGCAGAGCAGGAATGTTGGTGGAACTGGCTGCCTGTCCCAGCAGGGTCAAGGCTGGTTTCTGTCTTCTAGCCTTCTGCTATGGTTAGATGAGGAGAATCACACTACTCCAAGTCCTGGGTTATTGGAGCTTTCATTCTGGTGGTTACAAGCGTAGGACAGTGGGCTATGAAATGAGGAACACACCGGCATGCGCTGAGTGGCCAGTCTGTAGGTGCAGCAGGAGAGCCACACCGGGGTTCATCTTCATACTGAAAAATAGGTGTGGCTGGGTGGCACCATCTTCCAAGCAACAAGACTTCTACAGGTTTGGTGACTATCCTGATTTGTTCAGGACTTTGGGTGCTAAGAGCCAGGGGCAATTGGGGGCAACTTGAAGTGGCCTCGTAGGGTGAACGGGCGGCAAAGGCACCAGATTGGCTCACCTGTCTCCCTGCATTTTCCTAGGTATCTTCACGGCACCATACGATGGGCGCTACTTGATCACGGCCACCCTCACCCCCGAGAGAGATGCCTACGTGGAGGCAGTGCTGTCTGTTTCCAACGCCAGTGTTGCCCAGCTGCATACGGCTGGGTATAGGAGAGAGTTCCTGGAATACCACCGTCCGCCTGGGGCTGTGCACACCTGTGGGGGCCCAGGCGCCTTCCACCTCATCGTGCACTTGAAGGCAGGGGACGGGGTCAATGTTGTGGTGACTGGGGGCAGGCTGGCTCACACAGACTTTGATGAAGTGTACTCCACCTTCAGTGGTGTTTTCCTATATCCCTTCCTTTCCCACCTCTAGGGAAGTCAAGGTGGGGGCAGGGGGGAAGGTTGTAAAAACTCCAAAGCTTTAATATATTCAGTGTGTGTCACTGGAGAACGCCCCACCTGCCCCCAGGATAAAGGTCTTCCCTCACTGTAGAGACTGTCACCCCTCAGGAGTTTCCAGACAGCCTTGGAAGGGACACATGCTTAACGAGGCCCTCATTTTTCTGGAACTCTAACTGGGCAACCAGAAGACTTGGCAAAGTCCCTTTGGCTGAAAGCTGGCGTCTCCTGGGCTGGGCCTATGTGGTGCTACCTGTGGAGGCTGAAGCTGCGCCCCAGTCGGGCAGAGCCTGCAGCAGCTGGCCTTCACTGGAGGACACTGGAGCGGGTGCCTCTCTCTACACTGCCCGCAGGAGAGTTTGAACACTGAAGTGCTGAAGGCTGGGCCCAGAATGGAATCCAGGCCATCCCACACTAGGCTTGTTACCGCCTGGGACTCATCAGTCCACCTGGGCCCTGCTACAAAGGGGGATGCAACAGATATTATTTATGAAGCTTGTTGGGCTCCTTAAATGACATGTACGATATAAGTGCAAAGACAGGGAGCGTCAATAAAGATGTCAATATCACCTTACATTCCTCTTCTGTATCTCAAGCCTTATGGACTGGGGGAAAGAGCAACCTAGAAAACTTTTTATGGCTGTAAAAATAATCTTGTGTGTAAATTAATTCCAGCCTTTAAACTGCTACCTTCCAGCTTCCAGGCTGTACACATTTAGGTTCTGATTTTGGCTGGTAAACAGAGACCAGATGGCCTTGAAGGTCAGGGCCTACCACAGTCCTGGAGCTGAAGAGGGGACTCTGCTAGGGAAGCGGTCTGGTTACAGGCGGATGAGACTGCCTTCTCACCGCTCCATTGCCAGCTCACTGGCAGAGACAGTTAAGTACCACCAACTCTAGTTCCTAAGCAACACGAGGCCCCGATACAACACGGATGGCTGAGTGGAAGCTGAGCTCATCTGAGAGGACAGGCACATTGGTCTAGGAGGCCTAGCATAATGATCTTTTCCCAGCAGCCCACAAAGTTTTAGGTACATATGGGACATTCAGTTTGGTGGCTTTTGCTAACCAGCTTTGGGGAAAGCCTGTTGATGAACGAGCACCCACAGGGAAAGGCAACTCCTCCAGGTCCCTAGTAGAAGACAGAGAGGGAAACCAGGGTGTTGATAGTCGTATTCTCAGCCCAGTTGGCAGAAGAGGCTATTGCTATAAAAATGCCTTGGGTTTCACCGGTTGTTGGAAGGACGGGCCTGGACTGCATAGTTTTTAGAGCGCTCCCTGTTTCTACAGCTGGGGAGTTGGCTACAGAGTATCCTTGCCTGTCCTAGCAATGACTAATGGAAAAATCCACAGCAGCAGTGTTTTTCAGGAAAACCCAGCTGGCGCAGGGGCGCTATTGCCCTTTCCTCTCACACTCTTCTTTGAAGAATTGTTCAGTGCCAAACTGGCCAAGTGACCGGACACTAGGTGCATGGCCACTGTACGCCCCGCTCCTACACAGGTCTCTGGAGCATCAGCTAGAGCTTGGCCCGCCAGTGTGTGGGACTTACCTCCCTAGACCCAACAGGCAAAGTGGAGCGAGCCCATACTCACTGCAGAACAAAAGGGAATGAAAGCCAGATGCAGCCCTCGCAGGATACAGGTCTAAAAAGGTAGAACCTATCTTTTTTTGGAGCTGGAAAATAAGGACAGACAGGCAGCCTGTCCGTGGGGGGAAAGTTTGGAGCAGCCCCCCAAGTCACCACACCCCTCAAGTCATGTACCCATGAGTCAGCGGTATAAAATGAATTACTTAGGCCTTTGGTTTCAATGATCTATAAAACATTTTGAGAGTCTAGTTGTCACTCAGTTGGTCAAAAAGTCCTCCCAGGCAGAACCAACTTGCACACACCACATGGCCACCATGATCGAAGTTCATCTTGTGAAAATCAAGGAGCTCTTGATCACTGAGAAGAAGGGCAGTATTTACTAAGGACTGGGGACATGCACACCATCAAACAGGACCATCGGAATGACTAAAGATGACAGCTACATGACCTTCCCAGGAGACCGCAAGTCTGCTCCAGGTCTATCCTACATCATTTCAGACGAGCACGTGAACGCATTCCCACTGACAAGCATTCTTGTTCCCACACATCTGCAGCACATGGACCCCATCTGCCTCCTAAATGTCCACCTGTTTTCCTTATGCCATCTTCTGATGGGTAGGAGGGGCACACACAGGCCTCACAGAAGGGACGGACAGACCAGGTCCTCTGGGCTCCACACTCTTCTTCAAACTGTTCCGAGGAAAACCCCATTTCTTTATAGTCAGACTCTTTCTTTCTAGGCCAAAGTATACTGACAGAAGACCTGTGGCTTCTCAGCCCAGCCTCGCACCATAGGAAAGCAGCATCAAACAGAGTTTTTATTAATGATCTGTGACCTGAGGGGACACAGACACACTCTTGTCATCGCCTATGTGACATGGGTTGTGGGAATATCAGGACTGTAGCTGCCACGTGCCTCAAGAGGGGCTTATAAAGGGGTACTGAAGGTTGAGCGAACCCCTAGGGGACCCTGAAGGGCTGGTGTGCTGGCCAGACTGTAGGGGAAATGACAGAGGAATCAATCACTACTCAGCAGAACCTACAAGGCAGAGGCATGAGCTCCTGTGGATGGAGCTTCACTTCTGGAATCGGGGTTTACACGTGAGCAACAGGAAGAGGTTCCTCCTTCAGACACAAATGCTATTCATATGTAACTGATAATTATAATTACCAATCTCAGGCACTAATACAGACAAGATGGTCAAACATCCTCTAAAGGAAGGAGCCGAATGCACTCGGTTTGTGTTAGTTTATTATTGTAACATTTTGTTGTGAACATCAAACACTGCACCAAAATATGAGCCGTTCATCTGAAGATATCTTTACCATGACTGAGGCACGGCGCCGGTGTTTACAATTACACAACCTAAACTGCTTAGTGACAATGCTGTCTGATTATCAAATGTCATCAGCTGAACACAATTATGAAAAGAGCAATCTTTCCTCTGCCTTCAAATCAAAATGAATCAAAGTGCTGGAAAGAGCACTTACTTCACCCGGTTTTAAATAAATCGCAGCATGCTCTCAGGCTCAGAAACGAAGTGTCCCAGAGCTACACAATAACGCTGCAAGTTCCCTGCAGCAATCAACTGCAAAAGGAGAAGGTGTTCCCGTCGTCCTAACCGTTCCTCTCTCTCAGATGCTGTGCTTCAGCAGCACTGCAGAAGGGCAAAGGGGCTGCAAGGACAGAGTCTCCCTGCCACTCAGCTCTGGTCCTTGTTCATTCCATGATTTTTAGCAGCTTTAGTTTTGGGTCACCACAATAGTATGTTTCTTTCCAACTGAAACTATGCAGATGGGCTAGACCACAGGAAGTGCAGTCCTGATCACAGGGCTAAGTGTGCATCCTACACAGCCTGATGGAGGGAGAGCAGCCACCAGTTCTACAACAGTGCTTCAACACTCAAGTCAGAGTGAGCTGGAGGACAGAGGGCAAGGCTGACAGTGACTCTGAGGCCCATCTGCCAACAGTGCCCCATCAGCATCACCTGCCACTGGCGACAAGGGAGAGACTGCAACAAGCCATCTATGGGTTTGCGTGCAAACACACTTGAGGGCATCTCTCTTTCACAGAAAGAACAAATGTCATTTGTAACAAATGGCAATGGATTTTCAGCACAAACCTAATACTTCAGAACACTACAGCAATAGTAATCATCTACTTTCAGCAAGAAGACTCCTTTAAATAAGGAAAAAGAGTTACATTCATTAGCCTAAATACCCACTGATCAATTTGTAGTGACAAGTGCAGGGCTAATGGACATGGGGAGAAGATCAGCACAGGCCAGGAGCCCCACAACCTAAGCTGGGCCCTCTGAAAAGGCCCATGTGTCCAAAGAAAAGAGTTTGTCAAGGAAAGGAAACAGGCTGCTGAGGCAGACTCCACAAAGGATAAACTGAAGCTGTCTGAGGAAACACGATGAGATTTTCTGTACCACAGAGACTCTACTAAGCGCAGGGTAAGTGCACACAACTCCAACTCCAGAAACCAAAGGGTGCTAAATCCAAAGGGTGCTAAATCCCAGGCGGTGCTGAGACCTTGACAGCATCAGGGGGCTGCTCTACACATCTTACTTCACTGCCTGGGAAGAATTTCACATAAACAACTGAGTTTCCCTACACCTAACACAAACAAGCGAGGCCAACACTGTGGAAGCCTGCACTGCCCCCTCTCTGTGAGCATTGCCTCCAGTGGTTCTGCCACTGAGAACTATGTTCAAAGGGTTTTTTCTTCTATTAAAGAATGTTACATGGTCTCTGCATTCAACTGCAATACTGAATCGAGGCAGGGACACTCAACTCTCCAATCTGGAAAATAACCACCCCTTTCTAATCCGACTCTAGGTGAGTGTTATTTTGGGTGAAGCAAACTGAAACACTGTGACAAGGCCAGTCATCCAGCTGCAGGGGTGAGGGCTGGAAGTGGAACCATCTTTCTCTGCAGTGCCTGCTCTGCTGAGAAGCCTTCATTTCCACCGTCCAAGAGGAGGGCTGTCCCAAGACCCAGTGAAGGTCCCGGGACGCCTTCCGCCAACACTTCTCGCCATGTTTGCACTGCAGTGACCGTCCACACCCTGTTGATCATAGGCTGTGGAGAGTCCAGGACGTAACTCTCCCTGTCACATCTGTCCTGACATTTGACAAGAGAGTTTAACTAGGCCAGTGCATGTTGCTGCCAAGAGAATGCAGAGGCGCCCACATCCCCAGAGGCCTCATCCGCAGTATCAACCGTGTGAACTGGACAATGGGCCGGTGCTGCTGCTGCGGTGCTGGCTCTCCACAGTCCTTTCCTGAAATACCTACTCACCAGGGCCACTTGAGCCAGATGACAGTGTCAGAGGAAAGGGTGACTCCTAGGACCCAGTGCAGTTGCCTTTCTACACTTGGGAGGCAAAGCTGTTGCCTTTTCTGTATTTCAAACCAATTTCTCCTGATTACTCCAGATATAAAATGTGCACTTGTTCTTCTGACTAGGGTAGAGCAGTAACTCAATCGGCTTCTTTCTCCCTGGGAAGCAGCACAGGTGAGGAGATGATGCCAGGTACTCTCTCCTCAAAAGCCCATGCTGGTCGAGCTGGGATCATGGTGCTGGCACACAGTTGCTGGGCTCCCATCTTGGCACATGAAGCGGTTGTCCTAGTTCAGTGACCAAGAGCAGAAGTGTCCCAAGGGGGACATGAACACGTAGCCAGCAACACTAACCGGACTTCTGGAGAAAGCCTGGTTACAGAGAGAAACGATCAACTGAGCAGTGGAAATTTTAACTCTTTACTGTGTAGTAATGCGCTGGTTCATTCTTGTTCAGTTTCTTATCTCTGCCATTCTAAGTCTCGCAGCCAAGGGGCGCAGCACACAGCTCCACAGAAAGCACGTGAGGAACCCCACATGATGGAGCTCAGGCTTGGACCTCCGCCAGGGGCTGAGTGGTGCCTGGGGAGGTGAGGGGGCAGCAGTGCCAGCTCCGGGGACCCTGTCCCTGTTCTGGAGAGCAGGTTCCTGACTGCAGGCTCCGGGGTCTTCATCTGTAAGAGGCCAGTTACTTTCCCTGTTGGGAGGCATATAGCCGTATAGTCGTTCAAGCTAGGTCATCCAGGTCCACATCAGGGATTGGGTCTCGCCAGTAACAGAAGGAACTGAACTCTGGGCATGGAAAAGCAGAATTCTGTTCCTTACTGAGAAGTGGGAACACATGTTCCACAAGCTCACTCAGCCTGTGATACCTGGAAGGAATTGGGAAGACATACAAGCTGTTATTTTACAACATGTTTAGCAAAGACCATAGGCTGTGATGCTGGCTATTCAGATTATACAAAAGGGCTGCTCAGCACTTGCTCAGAGCTCGGCCCCATCCCCTGGTCCAGACTGTCTTCCACACATAAAATAACCAGAGACTCCTTAAACCGCTACCCAAAGAAAATGCTCACAGAGGTACAACTCTACTCCTCCTGGCTGGGCCCCGTCTCAGTTCTTATCTGTCCTCAGCTGTACACGGCTGCAACACGAATACACTTACGATGACTTGTTTCCTTTGGTCCTTTCTTGTATTAATTCACCCTTTGGGTTCACGGTGAATATCCTACAGTCTGGAACTCCGACTTGTGTGTAAGCATAGACATCCTGCAGAAGACACAAAAACTTAGCTGGCTCCTCATAAGCCAGAGCCACTACATGGGCTGAAGATGGGAAATCTTTAGACAAATCCAGAAAGTGCACAGAAAATGGGCAGCAAAGAACAAATCAGGGTCCTCTGAGAATACTGAAGTAACCCCTTTAGTAGTCCAGATATGGAGGACTCCCCCTCCCCCATAAGATGCAGTACACAAGCCAGGGTGAGAACTGTCAATGAAGAGGGAGTATTCGCATCCTGGTTCTGGTGTGGACCAAGGGCATGGCTTAAGACCAGTTAGAACACTGGCAGAACTGACTGAGGAAATAAATTAAAGGGGTGGGGGTGGGGTGGGGTGAGGGAGGATATCCTTCTATATACATTCTTGGGGCCAAAAGGTAACTACAGCACTTTCCCAACTTCTAGGGAAATTTGAAAAAGCCTGGCCCTGGTGCAAACCTGGCTACTCAAGCAGTCGAGGCAAGAAGATTTCAGGTTCAAAGGCTACAGAAGCTACAGAATGGGTAACTTACATAGAACCTGTTTCAACAAAAAAATGTACATAGGGACTGGAGGGGTACTCATGGCTGAGAGCACTTGCTGCTCTTGCAGAGGGACCTGGGTTTGATTTCCAGCACCCACACGGTGGCTCAAAACCACCTGGAACTCTAGTTCTAGGAAATTTGATGCCCTCTTCTGACTTCCACTGGCACCGGGCACACATGTGGGTCAATGTGTGTGTGTGTGTGTGTGTGTGTGTGTGTGTGTGTAGACGGAGCACTCATACACAAAAAATAAATGAAAACAAAAGTGGAAAGGGTCTAGAATAACAAAGCTCCACGGTAGAGCGCACTCCTAGAATGCGGGGCTCCAGCCCTGAGGTGACGGTGTACGTCAAGTGAGACCCCACTAGGCACAACCGCGAGTTCACTCTGCTTATAGACTGGCGTGAGAACGACATGGCTATACCCTGACATGCACCTCTCTGACTTCTGCTCACACAAAATTCACACACTCCAAAGACACTTACATTAGGACGGTTTCCAAAGGCAGCGTAGAAGGGCTGCTTGGACGGGGCAAACAGGTTCTTAATATCATTCAGACACTCAATTTTGAACTTCTCTGGTTTCTTCTCTATCACTTCCCTAAAGAAGAAGAGATACAACCACCAATTCAAAACAGCAGTTTTTCCAAGAGTATGTTCTTAGCCAGATCTTCACCTTCACGTCGCCCTGTGTCCCTCATAACCCGCAGGCACCATCAGCACTCTCCCTCTTTCGCTAGCCCGTCCTGCGATGGAGGATCTGGGTAACACTAGTGGGAAGAGTCACACATTCCCTTCATCATCTTAGAGCACTTCAGGGAGCCAACAAACGACAAAAACACAGACACTCTACTGCCTGAGGGAACCTGTTAGAGTTCTGTCGCCAGCACCCCACTCCCCACCCCGCCCCCAGTGGAGGAGCCCAGCATGCCCCCGGGAAAGCTACCTGTGGAAGGCAGAGAACAGACTGCTGGGAGACAGCATCAGAGGGCCTCGGGGCAAGATGGTGCCCTTGTCATTGACCCAGTGCAGATAGCCTCGGGTCATGTCGGCCATGCCAATGGCGCGTGCAGAACAGTATAGAAACTTGTAACCGTTCCTAAAAAAACAGACAAAACCAAAAAACAACAAAACAAGCATGAACGCATACACAAACAATCTGGTTAGCCATGTCTTGTGGATACAGGAAAAACTTTTTTTTCCTTTTAACAGATCCAAATAAGTTCATCTCATTTACTTTGAAAATGAAATTACTGAACACAGAAGGACACCAGTTAGGGTTAGAAACCATGGAAAAACAGAGGCATATGCAAAAATGGATTGTGTTAAACTGCAACGTGACTTGCACCGACTTAATACATGTTGCACCTAGTTCAGAAGAAGATCCAGAATGGACAAAACTGGACTATATGTAAGGTATTTGCTGTAAAGGATCTAAGGGGCCTTATTTAGTTTGTAGGTCACAAACCATTCTATAGGACAGGGGCATAATTACACCTGAGTAACTGACATATTCTGACTTTCATAGAATGGTATTCTCAACTCAAGCTGAAGGTGGAACTGTATCTCCAGAGCAGTGGCACATGGACGTGCTAGGATCCCAAAAAGGAAGGCATGGCTTCCCTTGAGGAACTGTTTTCCATGCATGCTTATGCTAACCAGTAAATAAACCAGATTTTAAAAGTCAGCTCTCCTGATAAATCCTAGCTACAAACAGTTACAGTTCTGATGACCTAGGAAGTTAGTGATTCCCAGAACTTAGCTGAGTTATGGCAGGTAAAATGCAATAATAAGATACCAAGCACTTAACACTTTTGAAAACAAAACCAAAAAATACCTAGCCATAAACACACAATGTATACAGATCTATATTATTTTTCTCTAGTTCTTGGTCAAAGACACAGGGATGGGTACTCACTCATTGATAGAATGGTAGAGCTTCGCTATACCCTGATGAGTCCAGTCTTTACCCAGCTGTGGGAGAATCTGTCCCAAAGCATCAGATCTGGTAAGAGGGTAGAAACAGAAACAATATATAGAGCTGAGCATTTTTCATACTGGCTGCCAGTAAGCACTAGGTGGGGGCACAAAACTGGGGACACTATCTCAAGGTGGTTTCCCCCTGCCTTCATGTAAAGGGCAAGGCAGCCCTGCAATAACACACCCTGAGGTGCTCCTACAGGGGGAGTTACAGAACACACAGTATTTATTTTCAGAGACAATCTACTAGCACATCTTTTTTCTCTCATTCCCTAAAATCTTAAAAGTTTATCTTCACTGAATATTAGAATTTGGGAACCAAATGGCCAAATCTTTCCAAGTTACATTTGAGAATTCATTTGTATGGTTCCACACATCTCCTCCTCACCCATAGAAAATGACTCCATTTGGGGTGTTTTCAGGATATCTCAGGGCATATGGTTTAAAAGACACTCTCATTATTGCTGGGTTCTGACTGCTTCCCCAACCCATATCCTTCCTGCCACCCACAATGTGCTCGAGCTTACTTGGTTATTGTTCCATCAATGTCAGAAATGATGATTTTGTCATTCCAGTTCCACAGGTAAATGGTACCCGCACAGCGACAGGTACCCTGATACTGGGTTGTGATACTGAATACAACGTCATTGGGGCCGTCAAGGAGCTTCAATTTTGCCTTTTATAAAAAAGCATAACATTAAAGAAAGCTGAAAATACAGACTTTGGAACAGAGTTTAACTCTTGACAATGAAACTCAGAGCATATGGTTTCTCTGGGTTCGCTAGCCCCGACTCAGGCATGGCTATGATGGTTGAGGAGACACACTGCTCGAGTACTGTTTTCCAGGTCCAAGGATTTCCTGATACAAAACAAAACCTCCCTATCGTCCATCACACCTAAAATCACTATTCACTGCCCTAGTCACGGCCTCATACTCAACCCAGTAAAACCATTTCATAGTACAACTGTGTCAAAGTGAGATGGAAAAAATTGCATTTAAAATGTCGTTGCTCTGCTGCTATGAATGCCAAGCAGCAGCATGTGGTCCTGTGCTGAATGAGCAGTAAGATTCACCAAAGAAACCTGCTAAAAATACCCATTCTTTGGTTCATTTCCAGAAACTGGGGCAGGTGTTCTACGTGGGGAGGAACCCAGGTCACAAGCTCCCTGAGTGATCCTAACTGCTCACCAGGATTTGGGGGCGCTGTTCTCCTAGAGGAGCATTTATATAAGTACAACTCTACTGCGTATACTTACTATCTGGTCCGAGGAGAGTCGGAGAGACTTCTTATATGAAGCTGTGCTACAGTGACTCAGTGTCTCCATGGAGATGGTATCAACTTTGATTGTTTCTTCCAACTCCTGCGACCCCTCATCACTAGAAGTATCATTCTCTGCAGGCCTAATCAACAAACTAGTCACAATGAGCCAGGGAACTGACAGATGAGAGCGCTTATAAATTAGGACAAGAAAATAAACAGGTGTTACATATCCATAATCCAAGTCTCCAGAAGACTGAGGCAGAAGGATCTGTTCAAGGTTTGGTTATATTAAAACATCATTGGCAAAATGAGCATAGCAGGAAATATTTCTAAATTTAAGAAATTGACTTTATACTTCTTTTCCAAGAGAAAGTAAGGAGAGTGGGAAGATAAACTCCAGACTAGGATAACCACTGTGGGAGTGGGATCAGAGAACAGGGTTGGGAATGTGAGCACACACAACACAACCGAGAAAACTCAAATGCCCAAATCCGCCCTTCAGAAGCTTTTTAACATCCCTTCTGCCACCTGAAAAGCAGGGAGCAGGGCTACTAGCAGGGCAGTCCCGGTTATGTCCAGGATCCCTTCCTGAAGTTCTGCCTTTCCTAGTAGCCTGGCTCTGGGATGGGCGCAGTAGTTAGAAGCGATGTTGTGTATTAGGTCCTGTAAACGGGGAAAGGCATTCTTTATCTACCAAGGGCACTGACAAGCCACTTAATGTCATGTCTTTCTCTAGGAAAAAGGTATTTATGGCTAAAATTAAGCAGAGTTGCCAAGATCAACTTTGATCTTACACCCAAGCAGGATTGCCCAAGTGCTGTGAGCTAGGAGAAAGGACAGGGCACCCACCTGGCCGACCCCTCAGCACTGGAAGGTGGGTCATTTGTTGGCGGGACCTCAGATTTTCCCTCCTTGGTCTCTGGTAGCTGGACAGAAAGATGATAATATCAGTGTACAATGTTTTCTCCAAACTTTGGCTGTAGTCCTTGCTAGGAAACAAAAACCTCCACCCATGACTGCAAACTTGAGGAACTTTTTCCACTTGAAGTTGAAGGACAGAAATCACGCACTGCTTGTAAAAAGCTATTCACAAAATATAACTGGCCCAATGGTCAGGTATCTGGTTGAGACATCTGGACTGCACCACGGAAGTAAATACTGGTGCCTTCTCCTGTCTGTCACCTGCAGAAGGGAGAAGGGCAGCCTGACCACACTGATATGGACATGAACTTGGTAAAGGCAAGACCACCCTCTGTTATCTGAAAAACAACAGTGAAACTCCCAGAATTCCCTTATTTAGAAGTCTCATCTAGTGGGAGTCTCTGCTCTCCTGCTGCTTTGTTAAAAGGGACATCCTGCATGCTTGCATGTGGATTTGTGCAGGATCTAACCTCTTGTTCACACCTGAGAGGTAACAGGGAAGCAGAAAGAGCAGTGATCTGGAGTCAAATCCCAGTTCAGCCCCAGCTCCACCCTCACTATTCACAGGGCTTCACCCAGCTCTGCCTACAAAGTGCAAGCTTCCAAAAAATCCAGCGGCTCAAACATCTGCAGAAAGCACCAGCGTAGCACCTGCACGCAGCAAAGCCTCTATCACTGCCATACAGCGCCTGTACCCTGCTTTTTACGAGTGGTAGAGAAAGAGTTGTGTTTACACAAATCAGAGTCATTACCTGTTTGGTCATGCTTTCTCTCTTGCGCCAAAACCACCACCGACCAGATTTCTTTGGCATCTTGTCTTTAACCCAGGACTCGACCGTGGCCTGCAGACAGAGGTGTGGGTCAGCACAGGAGATCCAGCGGCTGTAATCACTGACTCCTCACTACCATTCTCCCGTAGGACACGGCCTTGTTACAGAACGAGAGACGCTCTACACACCTCTCAAACCCACCAAGTGCTCTCCACAGCTCAGGAGGAAATGGCAAGGCTCCAGGGCAGTTTTGTGAGGCCCAGTGGACCTCAGGGTTCTGCAAGCACACAGCCTCCACCTCTTATTCTTGGAATCTGCGGCTTTTATGATACAAAGTCTGACGATATCTTGTGTGTGAGCAGAAAGTTCTCTGTAACAGGCGTCCCAACCTCAATCTAATTCAGCCACATGAATATCACCTTTCAGGAGCCCACTTCTTGCTGTTTCTTCCCATACTGAGAAGAAAATCTTTCGTGCCTTGATTCCCATTTTAACTGATGATTTAGTAAGCCTGGGGACCGCACTCAGACCTTCACACATTCACGAAACTGCTCTATCACTGAGCACTCAGTCTAGAGCTCAGAAATTGGTATAAATAAATACTTAAGAAAAATGAGGAAAACTGGCAGGCCAGGTGATTGCCTGGGATTTAGTGAACACAGCAGCTTGGATACTAAACTCAGAACCTTGACTAGAATCCAGTAATAGAGAATATAAACTTTTGGACTGCTGTATGTTAGATACTTTGAAGGAAACTTCAAATGCAGATCACTCACCTTAGGTAAACTCTTCTGGAATACTTGCAAGCTAAGGATCATGGGAGCAGCCAAAGCCCAGTTGTAGTAACTATGAGAAATAAAAATTGTGCAAACCCATCACACAGAGAGTCAGAAGCAAAAGCAGGGTTTGGGGGCAGGGCTGGAGCCTAGAGATGGTTGGGGGACTAGAGGAAAAGGAAAAAAATAACCTTATCAAATTGCTTATTCTTTCCAGTAAAGAGATGAACAACTAAATCTTGAAGATCTGCTTTAAGCCAAACTTTGGTGAACTGAGAAGCAGTAAGACTCATAAAACAAAGAGCCGGCATTGCACCAGCTCAGGTCAAAAGGTGAAGGTTCAGTCTCACTTGTAAATCATTGTGCTCTCGTTTGTGTGATGACAAATCTTACAACAAGGAAAACAATGACAGTTAGAAACTGTGGAGTACTTAGCAACGATCAAGACAACGGTGTTTACCGGTTATATATCCGTATTACAAGGTTCGGGTTGTCGATAAGGCCAGGGTTTTCTGCAAACTCATGGTAAGTGATGATATGCTCCATGAACTTTTCTGCAAAGTAAAGCAGCCATCAGCTTGTGAGAGTGCACAGATCTCTGTAGACGGTCACAGTACTCAGCACTGAAGGACTTGTGGGCTTAAAAAAAAAGGCTTTTAGAGGAAGCTATGTTTTCCATATTTATCAAAAGACATTTTTAGGTTTATCAAAAGACACTTTCATAGTTTTAGAACTCAAACTAAATCCCAAACCAAAATATAATAAAACCCCCACCCCCTTTCTAACACTCTGTGAACCCCTGCTGCCATCTGAAGCAGTTCTAGGGCTCTGCCCACCAAGTCTCCTTTCCTACCCTAGCTATCTGGGGAGAGGGGACAAAGGGCAGTGCTAATGTCAATGTGCCAGTCACGGAATGGAGTACCTGCCTTCCAGGAAAAGCCATTACAGGTTAGGGGCCAAACTCAGAAAAGTTGTAACTTAAAGTGAATACAAAGTTGGACAAGCGAGGAATCACATCTGCCTGGACTACAAAGGTCAACCCAGGCAACTCGGTTCAGTGCTGTTTACACTGCAATAGCAGGGGATCAGGTGGAGACAGTGGTGCACTGCTTCCTTGCATGCATAAGGCTCTGCAGTTAACTCTTAACACAGGAGGTGGGAAGTAAAGGCTGCAAGAACATGGACGGACAGCTCTCAGGCCCGAGACAGAAGGCAATCCCGCATTTTGCTAGGAAAACAGACTGTTGACTCAGCGGACAGACACTGTCCCACTGCTTCAGTCTTCCCTCATCGAGTCCTGGGGCTCGTCACACATGCAACATCAATGGCACGTGATCCTACCCTGCTGCTCTGCGGCCAGAGCAGTTCTAAGTTACCAGTTTCCGAGTGTGAAATTAGAGTCTCACAACAAAGGTCCTCACGGAACTACCCGCTCCACACAAAGGTACTGTGAGACTCTAAGACAAGGCCTTAGGGAAAGGTACCCATACTCACACAAAGCCAGTCAAGAATTTATGGGAACTAAAAGTAGATTTCATTAATATCTTCCCCTCATGCCAGTAATTTATTGAACAGAGGTCTGGGCACAAAGGCAGGTGTTAAACCAAGTGATGGCCAGGCTTGCCCTTCTGAGGTGAAGACAGGGATGGCTGTCCGGCATACCTTTAGAAATCTCTCCATTCTCACTGAGGCCTCCACAGAGGGAGAGAGTGACATCAGGCAAGTCCATGGCAGAGTCTGAGAGGCACTCGGTGCCACTGTCTGCAGCTGCACTTCCCACAGACTGTGGGGACTGAGAGCCAGAGAACGTGTCAGATTCAGGCCATTGCCGGGAACCAGGATCGGTGTCACTGTGCAGAGGGAAGGAAGGAGAACTAAGGATTTATTCCATTTTTGGCTTAATACATGGTCCTCTAGAATCCTACAAGGAATAGATGGGAAATCAAAAGTAACTTCTGGGATGTATGAGTGCATGATGTGTGCATGTAAGTACGGGGTAACAAACACACATGAAAAGGCCAGAGTATGGGGTGAGTCAGGTGTTCTCTATCACTCTGAGACTTACCTGTTGTAAACAGGGTGGCTCCCTGAACTCCAGCTTGCCATTTGGGCCAGGCTGGTCAACGACAGAGCTTCTGGGATCTACCTGTCCCCAGCTCTCAAGGCTGGAGTTAGAGGTACATAAAGTGCTATGCCCTGTTTATGTGGACTGGGGATCTGAACTTGGGTTTTTAGGCTTCTCATAGTTAAGTGCTCTTATCCACCAAGCTATTTTCCCAGTGACCCCGCTCCACAGCTTTTTAAAGTAGAGTTTAAAACTAGCCGGGTAGCAGTGTGCACGCCTTTAATCCCAGCACTCAGGAGGCAGAAGCAGGAGATCTCTGTGAGTGCGAGGCCAGCCTGGTCTACAAGAGCTAGTTCCAGGACAGGCTCCAAAGCTACAGAGAAACCCTGCCTCAAAACACACACACACACACACACACACACACACACACACACACAAACAACAACAAAATCACATTATAAATGACAGCAGCAAGAATCTGAGAACTAAGAAATTAACTACAAATGTAGTAAACACTTCACATGGTGCCAGCCAGCCTTTCATCAACTGGGGCCTTCCTGACTGTAACTAAAGGGGTAAAAGAGTTAAAAGCACTTACTTAAATTGCCACAGTGAAATAACAGGGCAGTTAAGAAAAATCTGACATTTGGAAGCCCTTTGATCACTGCATTCCAAGAAAAAGGGAAAGGTAACATACACAGTTTGTAGAAAATTACTAAGTCCAAAGCTATATTCTGAAAACAAAACCCAAGGCTTTTCCTAAATTCATCTTAATACTATCCAAAACTAGCCTAATTTAAAAACAGAAATACTCAAGGGAAAAGTACTCAAAAGGCTGGACCCTCTAGAACAATGTAGACTGTCTGTACAGCAGTGAGGCCTGGACCTCACTACTCTTATTTCTGAGACAAGGCACAGAAAGCCTGGTGCCAGAAGGAGCGCACACTGGACTTTTGGAAGGGAGCTTAAATGTGAAGTAAGGAGATGGCACGTCACATTTCTCAGTCAGAAATGGAAACTACTTCTAATATTTGAGATGCTCAGATTAGAAGCTAGCTCTCCCTCCTTTTTTTAGTACTGGGGATTGAACCCAGGGTCCTCATGTGTGACAAGGCAGGCACTCGGCTGCTAAGTGTCATCACCAACCCAAGAACCCAGGGTCTTTCAGGTTTTACTGAAGCAAAACAAAACATGACACACCTGGTGACATGAACATGTACTTCCGGAAACGTCTAAGGGCTGAGGAGCAGGTGGCAGGAGACATGTTCTCATAGGAAGCCATTTATGTTTGGGGGAATTTTCTCTTAATAGCAATGTGCACCTTCAAACTAAGAGGAAACTGACAGAGAGATGATCTCCTCACAAGAGCCAAGCTCACTGAGATATGGCAATGCAGCAACTCATGCGGTGAGAGGCAGGGAGGCACAGTCACACTTGGAGAAAACTCTAACTCCAGCACATGAGAGGTCTCTGTCGGCCACCTGACTGAGCTGTGGATGTGGGAGACAGAGGTCTCACACTCCTGTCCCCGTCTGTTCCTCTGTAGAGCCTCCCACCAACACTAGAGACGGAACGCTAACCCAACAGTAAGACAAGGAGCTTTATCAGTTACTGCAGCTGGTGTCACCCAGCCAGAAGGGCATGTCAACACGAGGGCTGCCTTCTGACTCAGCATGCTGCCAACTCACAGGAAGGACGGGACATGTGTGAACATCAGCTGGATAAAGTATGACTATTCAGTAATATAGTGACAATCACAACAGAGCACACTCATATGCAATAAAATAGCCTATGACATACCCCAGTTTTCAGTCCTTACACTACGTGTGGCTAATCAACAGACAGTAGCCTTTACCAGGAAAACTGTAACCAAGTTCATTTTCTTTCCCTTACTTTTTTTCTTTTCTGTTCTTTGAGATGTGTTTTTTTCTATTATGTAACTCCAGCTGGCTGCCCTGAATCTCCTTATGTAGACCAAACTGTCCTCTAACTCACAGAAGTCTACTTGCTTCTGCCTCCTGAGTGCTGGGTTAAATTAAAGTATGTGCCAGCATGCTTGGCCTTGCTCCCTATTTTTTAATAGAGATATTTTTTTTTAAAAATTCAATATAAAACTAAAGTAAAGGACTGGAAAATGAGAGAAAGTCATAATTCTAACAGATCACATTTTAATTTTTTTCTATCCTTAAAAAAACTGGACCAATTTCAATTTTTTCATCTATAAAAACCCATTACTTCAAATAAAGTATGTGGATATTTTAAGATAGTCTACTATATAGAGTTACGAACAAACTTTAAGAACCTCTCAAAAATACAAGGACATGTGCTCAACTATGTTCACAGCAGCTTTGTTTGTCATAGCCAGATCTTGGAAACAACCTAAATGCCCCTCAATTGAAGAATGGATAAAAAAAAAAAATGTGGTACATTTACACAATAGAGTACTACACAGCAGAAAAAAGTAACGACTTGAATTTTGCAGGAAAATGGATGTAACTAGAAAGCATTATTTTGAGTGCAGTAACCCAGACACAGAAAGACAATTATCATATGTCTCATAGGTGATTTTTATACATAAAGCAAAGATAGCTAGCCTACAAACCATAATCCCAGAGAACTTAGACAACAACACAGACACTAAGAGAGACTTACGTCGATCAACGTGGGAAGTAGAAAGTATAAAAAGACAAGATCTCCTGAGTAAATTGGGAGCATGGGGACCTTGGGGGGGGCGTTGAAGGAGGTGGGGGAGAGGCAGGGAGGGGAGCAGAGAAAAATGTAGAGCCCAATAAATATCATAAAAAAACAGAGAAATGGGTTAAATCAAGATGTGAGAGTTAGCCAATAAGAGGCTAGAGATAATGGGCCAGACAGTGTTTAAATGAATACGGTTTCTGTGATTATTTCGGGTGTAAGCTAGCTGAAAGGCCGGAATGAAAAGCAGCCTGCTCGCTCCTGTTACACTGGTGCATACCTTTAATCCTAGGGTTAATGGAGGGAGAGGAGGCAGAGGCAGACAGATCTCTGAGTTCAAGGTCAGCCTGGTCTACAGAGCCAGTTCCAGGACAGCCAGGGCTGTTAAACAGAGAAACCTTGTCTCAAAAAATAAACAAACAAAAGATAAAAACAAAAACAAACAAACAAACAAATCTTAAATATATTTATGTCAACCTCATTTTCCATTCCAAGTAAAAAATGAAGTATGTTTTCCCAATAAATCATATAAAAGAATGCATGTATATAGTGCACAGTAAATTCAAACCATACTTTCTGAGTAGAAAATTAAGCTTTATAATCAGCATATTAAGTAGTAATTCCTTTTAGATTAAAATGAACTTAGGAACACGGTTAACATACATTGTGTTTGAGGTTCATGGCTGAGTTATCTTAGGAAGAATTATTTTGTGACATGGTAGGGACTATGGGCACTATGGGGACAGAGGGTTCCTTAGAATGTGGCCTTATAAGACTCAGGTTCAGACGTGGATTCACATTCTTCAAAGGAGTGAAGAAATTCTTTGTAAATTAAAATGTGCTGTTTAAAACACACAAATAAAACAAATGCCAAAGAATTCCTCAAGTGTATTCAGTTTGTTATTAGCAACTATAAAGAGCACTGACCTAGGACTGCAGGATGGCTAAGCAGGTAGCAGTGCTTCTGAGAGCTTGACAACCTGAGTTCGATCCCTGGAGCCTGGCTAGTGCAAAGAGAGGACCGACCCGGCTGTCCTCTGCCCTCCACAAGTGTGCACTGCAGCACCAGCACTACACGCACACACGCACACACATACATCTCTTACGTAGGTCTCTCTCCTTATTGTACTAAATGGTTTATAAACAACACACACTATCTGAGTTCCCCAACCTGAAGCATAGCAGGTTTAAATGAGAGACTATCGCGCTGCTCCTCAGATGAAGTACCTGGACTTTCTCCAGCTGTTCACACCTCACTGCACAAGCACACACTACCTTTTAGGGAAATAGAGAGCTGCCACTTCAGGCTCGAGAGCTTTCAAGTCATCAAGGTAAATGTCGTCAGGTCCCTGGTGCTGACTTCTTTTGTGGACACCTGTTTTTAAAAGAAAAACACAGCAGAGGTAAGAATTTGTTCTCTATTTACAACTCTGCAATAGCATGAAGTTTTCTAAACAGAATAGGCCACTATCTGCCTAAAGCAAGGTCTAAAGATCAATCCCTAGAAGGGTTACTGCCTTGCCCTTGTCCTCGCTTTGTGCCCCGTTTCTTTCTTTCTCTGTGTGTCTGTCAATAGTACTTTAGTTCTACAGAGACTATACTTAGGTGGCATGTCCTGGAGTCTTTAAGGGAGAAATGTCACAATGTCTAGAACTTGCTGTTTGTGAGTCAGGAGATGGCAAGGAGACACCGCTGTGCACTGCACCACATGAGGGCACTTCAGTGGATGCACATACAATGGTGGGACCAAGTTATCATAAAGCAACTGAAAATTTCCACCACCCAGTAGTGTCTTAGGGTAACAGACTATGTTTGTAATGATGGTGGAGTAAATGAACCTATGGCATTGCTAGTCCGGTTAGTATAGCAATCTAATTATGTACCCGATATAATGCTTGATAATGATAAAAGTGACTATTTATATGTTTACTATTAGTTTAGGGCATACTCCCATATACCTACTGAAATCTAAAACAGTATGTCATCATATACCAGCAACAGCATCATGGCATGTTTCCTGCATCTCCTGACTGCACCAAGAGGACAAGTCGACTGATTTACACTGTGTAAAAAACAATACTAAATTGCTTGATGACATACTTCTCAGACAACAGCGCTGTCACTAAGTGATGTACCACATGGTATGTATAAAACTTTCATAATCAAGTTGGGAGGCGGTGAAGAAAATAAAGCGAGGAAATGGTAGGAATCTTTCCCCTATCCCTGTGAATTCCTACAGTGTCTCAGACCAAAACAAAGCATCTACTATAGAAGAACTGCTCATGCCCCTTAACAGTTCTTACAACAGAATACTTGCGTAGATTTCTGAGAGAGCCACTGTCAGCTAGTCATCAGATTTGGTCACAGAGCTTGTTTCTGACAACTCATTTAGGAATGATCTGAGTCTGTATCAGTTTGTCATAATGGAATGTTTCCTGCTCCTCTCCTTTTTGTCTTCAAAGTGAAGCAGGCACTCAGCTAATAAGACAGGTGGTTTTAGGTAAGGTTTACTTCCTTAGTTAAAGGCTCCAAGTCAGCATTCAAAGCGTGTAGTTTCTGACTCTTACTGAGACAACTGATACAAAGTAAGGAGTTGTGACAAGGGCTGGACTCATCCTTCACACCAATTTAGGAGGGAAATTGGTGACAGAAAGCACTGGACACTTAAAAATATTTCTATTTTAGGTGTATGGTGTTTTGCCTGATATATGGCCATGTGCTTGGTGCCCAGAGACCAGAAGAGAGCACTGGGTCCCCTGAAACTGGAATCACAGCTGATTGTTAGCTGCCATGTAGATGCTGGGAATCAAACCTAGGTCACTCAAAGTACAGTCGGTATTCTTAACCATTGAACCATCTCTCCAACCTCCAGTAGATATTTATTTTTAAAACCATACGAAACCTACAAAATTTTCCTTTAGCTAAGCAGATGTTTCTCCATTCTACTTTTACTTTTATTTAAGCAAAAGGCCATTTAAGATTTTATTCACTAGCACATTTAGTTAATAATCAAAGACAGCACATGAATCTTGGTAGAACCTTAATTTAAAAGCATAGCACAGGCCGGACAGTGGTGGCACACACCTTTAATCCCAACACTTGGGAGGCAGAGGCAGGTGGATCTCTGTGAGTTCGAGGCCAGTCTGGTCTACAGAGAGAGTTCCAGGACAGGCTCCAAAGTTACAGAGAAACCCTGTCTCGAAAAACAAAACAAAACAAAAGCATAGCACAGATACTTAGTGTACTTTGGGAATACAGAAATGATTTCTTCACACTGACAGTGGTACTATCAATGCACTCATCAACTGATTAGAACGCAATTCTTAGTAAATATTTGGTAAAGGTCTACTGAGCATTGACTCAGAAATTAATAGAAGGACGCTTACCATCTTGTTTGGAATTTAGAGAGTAAGAGAAGTAAGAGAAGCCACATAGGTGAGTCATCACAACAAAGTCTGGGACATGTTCTGACTGGAGATCACAAGAGCAAAACCAGCTATCTCACAGTATGTGAAACACTGAAATAATACACCATCCACTGATGGTGTGTGATGTCAAACACACACTTACCTTTCTTCTTTGTTGGTGAGTCTACTTTAGCAGCTGGTTTGGATTCTGTGGGAGCTTCTATTGAGGACGGACTGGGAACATGGTCTGCATCTAACATAGATGAAGTCTGAGGAGCCTCAAGAGGCAGTTCAGGAAGTTGAGCAGAAGCTGCATCACTCAGCTGCTTACACAGGGCTCTGGGTGTGGGCTTCACTATGGTACAGATAGTATCTTCAACAGTAGCATCCTTCTCAACTTCTCTTATGAGGCTGTCTTCACTGGGAATGACCCTAAAATGAGTGTTTTCCGATGGTGTAATTGTAGCTGTCCTTGGGTGACAGTCATATCTTTCTCTTTTGCTGACCTGCAAATATGAATTGTTTAAAAATGCTCATCTTGAGGGAAACAGCTTATATCACACATGAAAACTTCATTCATGACCCTACTGCTCCCCCCGCCCACGCCCATGCCAGGGGCAGGGGGTAGAACCCACTGTCTAGAGCACAGAAGGCCAGTCTCTACCAACTGCGTTATATCCCACCCTAACTTTCGGGACTTACATTTTCAGTGTGGAAACTCTAAGTTTCTTTTAGGTATCTTTAATTTTTTTAAATAAACATTATTTGTTATGTAGAAACACAAAAGATATTATTGTATTAAGTTATAAGTACGTGTACAGTGGAAATTTTATAAAGAAATGTTAATTTTTATTTATCTTTCAACCACAAGAGGGCAATGTCATCATTATACTCTGAGCTCAATACGAAATTGCTTCCTTCATTTAACAGAGCAAAGACTCTTTACTGGTGCTTACTCATGATGTGGGAGTCCCCTCTGTGTATTGCTTATATTGGTTAATAAATAAAGAAACTGCCTTGGCCTGATAGGGCAAAAGTTAGGTAAGTGGAGAAGACAGAACTGAATTCTGGGAGGAAGAAAGCAGAGTTAGAGGAACGCCATGGATCCGTGGCTGGAGGTAGATGTGCTGAAACTTTTCTGGTAGGCCACAACCTTGTGGTGATATACAGATTGTCAGAAATGGGTTAAATAAAGATATAGGAGTTAGCCAATAAGAAGCTAGAGCTAATGGGCCAAGAAGTGTTTTAATTAATACAGTTTCTGTGTGGTTACTTCGGGGCTAAGCTAGCCGGGTGGCCGGGATGAACAAGTGGCCTCCTTGCTACATACTCAGACACATCCCAGTCTTTCCAGTAAGTCCCAGTACCTTGGTAGACTCTGGGAACCCGCCCCAAGTCCACTCCATGTGAGACTCAGATCTGAGCAGGCTCTCAGCGGGCTTCACCTCCAACTCTGAATCACTCTTAGGACACATTGCCTGGGAATAAGTGCTGCAAGCACACAAGAAGAAAGAAAAACAAGGCTCAGTCTTGGTGAGATTCGCAGTGTGTAGAGAAAAGTAAATGTAAGTGTGAATATGTCAACTATAGGTACAAACACTCCAGTGAGGGAAACATCAATTGCTCATTCCACTTGCGTTCTTTAGTAAAATAAAAATGACAGTTAGTGCTTATTAAGGACTTTCCAGGTCTTCTGTAGACCCTCTATAATGTTTGCTTCTCACAGGAAAATACAGGTAATTTTGTAAGACAGAAAACATACAGGAAGGTATTAATCAGTTAATATGGCTGCAGAAACGCCTCAGTGGTAAAGAGTTGGAGAACCTGGGTCCCGTTCACAGGAATCCCATGGCAGCTCGCAATTATCTGCTAACTGTAATCACCTGTAACTAACTTCCTAGGGCATCCAACTTCCTCTTCTGGTTTCTGTAGGCACCATGCATGCATACGGTGCATAGACATATATGCAGACAAAACAATTTTATGCATAAAATACATAAACCTAAAAAATCATTTAAAATCTGAAGGTTTGATCACAGAAAATAAACAGTATGACCACACATTCTTTCACATTATTTATTTGACACCAAATAATAGAATTTAACAGTAAGTAGAGCAAATTCTATGCTAATTATTCAGATTTACAACTAGCAAACACCATCAGAATAAGATTAAATTTAGGAACAAAATGGGTTGTTAAAACAGTTCATATACATGTTAAATTTTACCTAATGGTTACTCTACTATTATATAAACAGAAAGTATTATTATTATCAAATAACATAAAGGCTACTAATATGCACCCCCCTCTTCCCTTAGGAAAACAGAAATTTCAGAGATACTTACGTTTCTAATGGGGACCAATCTCCATCAGATAAGGGATAGTGATCCCCGGAACGGAAGAGTGGAGGCTCCTTATAGTCTTCTTCCTTTAAGGAAGCATTTGAAGATCCTCTACAAAAGTGGAAAAACAGAGCAAAACCCAGAGATGTAGGAATGATTTAAAGTCAGCTTTAAAATGGGTACCAACAAGCCTCTTAATCAACAGAAGGCCACATGATTAGCAGCATCTTTTGGAAAAGGCTAACATGAACAAGGAGGTATGTACCAAAGCCACCCACCATATAACAGGAAGATAGCCAGTAGCCATATCATAGAAGGATATAAAATAAATGTGATTAAAATTTCTGATATGGTGGGGATGTTGCTCCAGTTAGTACAATTGTCCAAAGTAAAAGCTATGGCTTCACTTTTCATCATTAGGGAATTTATCACACGTCAATATGAGGTTTATATGGGGTAGCATGTGGAAATCTCTGGAAAGCATAAGGCACATTACCGCATGCTTAAGAGCTTCTTAGAGAACACTCAAGCCCCAGTAGTGCGTTGAATGTAAACTGGAATCACACCACTTAATTTGGTGGGCTAAGGGCACAGAAAGAAAACTGCTGTTTGTTCTTCAACCACTATCAAATGGATGCCCTTCCAGTGCTCGGGTCCAGTGCTCAGTCAAACAGGTGGAAGAAAATTCTATCTTAACTGAGAAAAAAAATGAACATTCTACTTTAAACTGCTACCTTGAAATTTCAGGCAGTTCTGATTTGAAAAGTGTTACAGGTTTTGAGTAAGTCTAACAACTGGTATGTAAGTGGTGATCAGAAACTCCCACTTAAACTGAAACTCCTTTAACTTATAAACTCAAAACAAAACTGTTTCAGAGGAAAAGGTCTGATACCAAATGTAAGAACCTGAGAAGGAATGCCAGGTGTATTGGTATATACCAATCCCAGTATATACTCAGGAATTGGAAACAGAAGGATTATGAGTCTGAGGCCAACCTGTGCTCTACAGTGAGACCCTGTGGAAGGAGGGGGAAGCAAAAAAGAAAGTGGGATAAGGAAGGGAATGGGATAGGAAGGGAAGGAAAGGGGAGGGGGAGGGAAGAAAGGGAGGGATGGGGCAAGCAATGAAGGAAGGGAAGAGGAGAGCAGAGAAGACAGGAGTAGAGAGAAAGGGGAAGGGAAAGGAAAGGGAGGGGGAGGGGACGGGAGGGGAGAGGGAGAAAAAGGGAGAGGATGACAAAGGGGCAGTGAAGGTGCAGAGGAAGGGCAGGGAAAAGATCCTAGGGTTGGAAAGCTACACAACTGGACTACAATGCTCCCATTTGAATCTGTGCACTCCCAGCAAATTATTCAGTAAGAACTGACAGTTTGTTTTCTGAAACGTCCTCAATGGAACGAGGCACGCCTCCAGACTGTCCAAAGAACATTAGCAGCACACTCACAGATCTGACAATAAGTGGGATGTGATGCTTCTTTCACTTGATCCCACAATAAATAGTTGGGTGAGGGCATCAGACTCACACTACACACCTTCAAGAGTAACAGCAGCTACTAGCTGCCTTGGAGCTCGACTGGGTGCACAAGGGCAGGGCCAGACACCTACATAAGCCCCTGTCCAGACTGGGAACTTTACCTTGCTGTCTGGGCTCCCTTCTCATCATCAGAGCTCACACCCACATCACATACGTCTTCTGTGACAGGAGAAGCCGCCTGTTCCTCCTTTCTATTGTCCTGCTTGCACTTCTTTCTCCTTCGTTTCTTCTTTTTCACAGAACTTGGAGCAAAAACTGTCTCTGTTTCCAAGGTGTGAGAAGTATCTGGGCTCTGAGATGGTTTTTCATCTCTGCTTGATTTCACCAAAGGGTTGTCAATATCTTTAAAAAACTGGTCTTCAGTAGGAATTGGTGAAGTGGCAAGATAAGCAGGTAGTTTCTCCTTAAAGAATAAAAGAAAAGTTATCTACAACAAACTGGACAGTTATCAAAACAATAATTAATTTCTCAAGTATACAACTTTTTACAGGGATAGGAGGACATAGTCCGTAAAGGTAGACTTAAATAAACGTGAGTTCATTTCAGTATGTAACTGAGTCTTTGTCAGAGCCACACAGAAGATGAAAAGGCTGCAATTAAATTCTGAGCCAATTAGCTAGGCAGTGGGGGAGCATGCCTTTAGTCCCAGTATGAAGAATGCATTGGCAAGAGTATCTCCTTGGGTTCAAGGCCAGCCTAGTCTATGTAGTTGAGTTCCAGGACAGCCTGAACTACACAAAGAAACCCTATCCTGAAAAACAAAAACAAGAAAAGAATCTGAACTGATTAAATTCTGTACAAAGAGCTACCAAAGTAGCAGCAGCGTGCTGAGTGTTACAAGGACTGACACGATGGTCAGAGCCTGGTGACGCAGAGGCCAAGGCCAAGGCCAAGACCACATCTGACAAGGGCAGCAGGGCAGGATTTAGAGCCAAGTGGTCAATGAACGGAGAGTGAAGAAGTGATCATGATAGAGACAACATCCAACAATGAAGGAGATCAGAGCACTACAATCGAAGTACCTTTCAGGAACTCAAAGGAAGAAAAGGCAGCCCGATATTCAAAATATCAGGATATTTTCAACTTAATACTGAATAAATTAAATCTAGTGAACTTCTCAATCATTTATTTCAATCAGGAGAAAGGAGAGGTAGACAAGCACAAATTATCTTCATAATTTAGAATGGTCAAATTTTTACACAATAGTCAGAAAACACTGAGTTTCCATAATTGGCACCCACTAAAACTTTAAGCTGGACTTGGTAAGCATCCGGAAGCTGGGAGTTTTGTTTACCAGGCTCATCACTAACATAGAACTGTCATCACACTGAATGCCCGAGTCTCCAGGTGAGGCAGATGTGCCCTGATTTCTAGAGCCTCGCATATCAGGTTGCCTTGCGCTTCTCTTCAAAGCCGTTTTGGTTTTTGGTAGTGTCTTCTAGTTTTATTACAGAAGTATTCAACATGAGGTAGAAAACACCTCAGTGTCTACTTGGTTATTTTTTTTTCAACCTGGCACAAACCTTATGTATCTAGAGGGGGAATTTCAGTTGAGGAATTGCCTCCATCAGATTGCCCTTTGGTCAAGCTTGTGGGGGCATTTTCTTGATAAATGATTCAAGTGGGAGGGCCTGGCCCATGGCAGGCAGATGGTCCTGGCTGGTATAAGAAAATAAGCCATGAAGAACAAGCTGGTAAGTAGCGATTCTCCGTGGCCTCTGCCTCAGTTTCTGCCTCCAGGTCCTGTTCCAACTTCTCTTAATGGAGTAAGCTGTAGGGTGAACTTCATGGTTCATACAATAGATCACAGAAAAAGAAACAAAATTAAAACATCTACCAATAAGACAATTCAATAGACCAGGAAAATCTACACCTTGAAAACTGTTAAAAAGAGGTGTTGTTTCAGAATTGCTGACTGAAAAGGAACGTTGAAAATGGTCAAAAAGTAAGATAAACAAAAACTAAATAAACAGCACCTGCCGGACAGTGGTGTACACCTTTAATCCCAACATGGGAGGGGGGCAGAGACAGGAGGTTCTTGTAAATTCAAGGCCAGCCTGACCTACAAGGGCTAGTTCCAGTATAGGCCTCAAAACTACAGAGAAACCTTGTCTCAAAAAAAAAAAAAAACCCAAAAAACAAGCAAGAAAACCCACCACCTAATAGGGTTTTGTTAACTTTTTTTTTTTTTTTTTCCTGGACAGGGTTTCTGTGTGGCTTTGGAGCCTGTCCTGGAACTAGCTCTTGTAGACCAGACTGGTCTCGAACTCACAGAGATTGCTGGGCTTAAAGGCGTGCGCCACCACTGCCCGGCATTGTTAACTTTTAATCCCCTTTGAAAGCAGATCTTATTTTATTATTATTTATTCATAGAGTAGTAATTCTAATATTTGTAAGATGGATTGGGATTTTTTTTACTGTATTATTTTTATTTTAAAGAGGCCCTTAGTATGTAGCTCTGGCTGTCTTATAATATACAGTAGTGCAGGAAAATCTGGTCTATTTAGTCATATATGAAACAGAGAAGTTTTGCAAAGCTGACCTTGCTGAAGCAGGCTTTAAACAGAAGCAGGCAAAGGATCACTGGCTCACATAATGATCATCAGTGAGAGGTCTCGCATCTGATGTTCAGAAACATCACAAATATATTATGTGCTCTTAGCCTATGCTCTGATGAGGTGAAATTGTGTTTATTATAAATGCAAATGAGGTAATAAAACACCAGTAAGATGTCCAGGAAAACAACGGGATAAGGTTCCTTTATAAGTTGCACTACCTCAGGGCTACTCCACAGAACAGTGCCTACAATGAAACTCTTTTTCAAGCTCAAAAAAAAAAAAAAGCAACCAAAATAATCTTGTTTTGCTATTTGTTATTTTTGTTGTCATTTTTCTCTTTGTGAATTCACTACATCAAATTAGTAGTTCACCTTCAAACCCCAAAAGTCTCTGTATCCAAATAACTTGAAGATTCGTGTTTTTGCGGAAAACGATAGTGATGCTTCTACAAGGTTTTTAATAAGAGCCATATTGACTACATCAAGAAGAGCTTGTTCTTGTTCCCACTCAGGGATACCCAGACTGCACAAGGACATGGGGCTTGTACAGGATGTGCTTCTTATAGAAGAAGACGACATAGGCCAATTAACCTAACTCTTGAAATCATAATCCAGTGGCTCTTAAGGTCATGGGTATAATATTCCTAACCAAACAAAAGAATCATTAAAAAAAAACCCTTATTATTAGTGTAGGGGGGCAGGTGGATGGCATAGCATCAGTATGGCATCAGAGGACAACTTTTTGGAAAGGTTCTCTCCTTCCATCTTTATATGGCTCTCTCTAGATACCAAACTCACATTGTCAGGCCTATATGGAATTTGTCTTACCAGCTGAACTATCTCTCTGGTCCTGTAAATATGTCTTCCAAATTTAAAGGTCACATATGTACATACTCACACACAGTTTAAGAGATATATCTTGAGGCAGAGCTGAATGAATTGAAGTCAAGTCATAAGTTTTAATGAACATGAAGGAGGAAAGCCCTTTGACACTAGCCAGTCTCCAAACCCTGAAAGCTGGTGTGAATTCATTTTTGGGTTTAGTTCAACATGTAATGAAAATTTACTGGGCAATAACAATCGTCCACATAAGCATGGAAAGAGCTGAGCAGTTGTTCTGAGATGTGTTCTAGAAGCCTGACACAATGTGCCCAGGGACTGTGACCTTTGAGACTTACATATTCTTCTTCAGTCTCCTCTACAAAGAAGGCTTCTCCATTGTCACCCAATTTCATATGAAGATCCACTGCACTGCCGTTGATCTCTATGTCAATCTAAGGAGGAAAAAAACATAATTCAGCACAGAGAATCTTTCATCTAGGCTAACCTAAACCTCAATTCTTGGCTCACACGCCAAATGTGGCACTGGGTTTCTAGAGATATAGCCCTGAGAAACACTGTTACCAGCCCCAGAGTCCACCCCTAAAAGAAATAAACTTGGGTACTGGGAGAGAATCAAAAGAAATGTTTTCACAGCATTTTAAAATTTATTGCTTAATCTCTAGATTTTCTTTTCTTTCTCTCTTTGGAGGACAGGGTCCTGCTAAGTTGCCTACCCTGATGTTGACTCACAGAATTCTGGCTTAGAGTTTTCAAGTGCTGCAGTTACAAGCCTGAGCCACCACGCCCAGCTTAACCTGACAAATACTGCAAAATGTGAGAAATATTGTTAACAAACATTTCTGTGTTTCCCAAGTTATAGACAGCATAACAGGGCTTGTCTCCCAGAATTCAAACATTAAAATGTTCCAGTACCCTCGTATTGAGCTTTGTGTGAATTCCCTGCTAGGGTTTTTATCCCAGGTCACTATGAACAACAGATGCAGTAAGGACCCATGAGCAGTCACTGGTCTTCTGCAAAGTCTGCTGGTGACTGGCACTGTGTTTTGTTATTCAGTTCAGCCACAGAGCAAAGCTTGGGGGCATGTGGTTATAGATATCTAACTTTTGTATATGTGTGTACATGTATGTATATCTTTGTGTATGTGTGGGTGCATATGCACATGTGAGTGCTTGGAAGTCAGAGATCAAACTTAGTCTGTGAGTCCTTTAGGCACTGTTCATCTTTCTTGAGCCGGCCTCTCACTGGAACCTGGGCTTGCCTGATTAGGGTAGGCTGGCTAGGCAGAAAGCCTAGGAATCTGCGTGTCTGTCTCCCCACAGCTGATACCAACAAGCACATGCTACTATGCCCAGTACTTACATTGGTTCTGGGGAATCAAACTTGGCTCCACATGCTTGTAGAACAAGCACTTCACTGACTGAGCCACGTCTCCAGACCTCATGTAACAGTTTATAAAAATGAACAATTCAAGGAGGAAATTATTGGCCAAGATATGAAAACATGGGCAAAAAAAAGAAAAGCGATGTAAGAAAAATTCAGCTTTTCCAAGGTCTCACCTGGTAGGTTAGTTCATATCAAGGAAACTTCTCTTTGCCACAGATGGAGACCACTACAGAAAACCACAACCTCCCAAATGCAGAGTTGTGGAGCCCAGGCTCAATGTATACACAAAACTCTTGCACTCAGGTAACATTGCAAAAGAGGGGTAGGGAGACTGTAAGAGCCAGAGGATCATTGATTGTGCTTCCTGGGAGTTAGAGGTGACACTTATGAGTCTCACCAGCACAAGCTGAACAAAGACAACAACACTGTGGTATGCATACATGCTAATGTGGATGTGGGCAGGGGGACAAGAGGCTTCAACCTGACACGGACAACTGCAGGCAACTACGGATGCTAAGTGTGAGAAAGTGTTCTCCAGGCTTCTCATGATCTGTCCTGAAAGCATACACACAAATAACATTATACAGATTGTTTCAGATTACACACACACACACACACACACACACTCACTCAACAATTAATGAATAAAGAAATCAAGAATCAGCCAGGCAGTGGTGGCACCATGTCTCTAATCCCAGCACTCAGGAAGCAGAGGCATGCAGATTTCTTTGAGTTTGAGGCCAGCCTGTAGTGTTCTTTTGACCCTGTTCTCTTGGTGGTGGTGGGGCACACAGTTCCCTAATAATCACATGGAAACTTATTCTTTGTATGACTGCCTAGTCTTAGCTTGGCTTGTTTCTAGACAGCTTTTCTTAACTTAAATGATCCCATTTACCTTTTGTCTATGGGCTTTTATATTTCTCTATTCCATATACTTTTCTTTCTTACTGTATGGCTTGTTGTGTAACTGTCCCTGATGTCCTTTTCAATCCTTCTCCTTTTCTTGATCCTTCTCTTTTTTCCTTATACTTAATCTCTCTGCTTGGCAGCCCCATCTAACCTTTCTCCTGCCTAGTTATTGGCTGTTAAGCTATTTTTTAGACCAATCAGGTGTTTTAGACAGGCAAAATAACACAGGTTTACAGAGTTAAACAAATGCAACATAAAAGAATGTAATACGTCTTTACATCATTAAACAAATGTTCCACAGCATAAACAAATGTAACACATCTTAAATTAATATTTTACAACACCAGCCTAGTCTATAGAGCAAGGTCCAGGACAGCCAAAGGGTAAACAAAGAAACACTGTCTCGAAAAACCAAAATGAAAAATAAGTCATGAATTTGAAAGGAAGCCAGAATGGGTATCGGGGAGGGTTTGGAAAGAGGAAATGATGTTAATTATAATCTCAAAACAGAAAAAGTTTAAAAAAAGAGAAATTCAAATGAAATTTAAACATTACAGAAGAAACAGCTCACTACAGGAACCATAAGCTTGGATAAAGTATGCATGCGTGCACCTACATCTAGACCAGTTTCCTGATTTGCCAGTTGAGACATCCTAGAAGTAATGATACCTTAGTTGTAATGAGAAAAACCTGTGATCAGATTATTGCTTTTAAACACTAATTAAGTTAAAAGCCACCAGAGCGCTTTGGACATGTAAAATGAATGATTCTAAGGTTGAAGCAGGGAAGATTTTCCTAGACTACCATATGGAAGAATGAGTCAATTTAAATAACCAAAATTATAAGGATAAGGCAAAACCTGTATTGTAAAACTAATACTATGGATTCACATGGAGAGAAACTGAGTAACTGAAGAACAGACATGAAGATAAAGATGGTCCTCAATTTAAAATTTAAATTAAGAACGGGAATAAGAAAGTTAAAGCTAAATCACAGATACACACATGAATAATTCTGTAGATAAATTTTATCAATGTACGCTAAAATTTATGGGTTGAACAATTATGGGAAACGTGAATATTTGGGTAGTAAGCCAAATGAGGAGAAAAATCGAACATTCTCCTACAGTAGCTTTGTAGTGGAGCAACCCTAGCAGACACCGTGAATCAGGGAAGCACAGTGAGTGTCGACAGTAACAAGACACGCGGTGCAGATGAGTGTGTTTTAGAAGAGTAAGCATCATTCTATATTGATATTTTAAAGGAGCAATCTCCACAAAGACCTCTGTGTTCCTACATTCCTCACTGGACAGTCACAGGGAAGGACTGAGGAGCATCAAGGACACGCAGTACAAGATCAACATTGGAAAGGACGCTGGGACGAACAGCAGACAGTCCTAGAAAGCCCGATGAAATCTGGGTGATGCCTCTGGTTGACAGCGTATGTTAGCACACATTTCTGGCAAAAGTACAATGGCCATATAAAGTACTAACATTAAGGAGAAGATATTAGGCAGAAGAAACTTTTAATTTTTATTTCTTAAAATTGTTATATTTATTTCTGAATATTGATAGGAGGGCAGAGGCCATAGTATCCACGTGGAGGTTTAAGAACAACTTTCCGGAGAAGATTCTTTTCTGTCACCAGGTTCCACGGACTGAACTTAGGTCACCACACTTGAATGACAAGCACTGTCACTACTGACCATTTTCACCCACCTAAAAGTTTTTTTTAAAAAATATTTTTGTGACTTGCCTGGAGGTCAAAAATTAATTTAAAAAAAGGATTACAAAATTAATCATTATCACTTGGGAGGCAGAGGCAGGTGGTTTTCCATGGGTTGAGGCTAGCCTGGTCTATACAGCAAGTTTCAGGACAGCCAGGGTTTGTTTGCAAAATAAGACCCATCTCAAAAAACAAACGATAAATAACAGAATAAATAAATAAATAAATAAATAAATAAATAAATAAAAGTTAATTAGTATGACACAGGTCCATAATCCTAGTACCAGGAGAATAAAGAAGGAAGAGTGAATTTGAAGGTAGCCCAGGCTATATACAGAGCTCCTAGCCAACTTGGATCACACAGTGAGATCCTGTTCCAAACATATAAACAATGTAATAAGATAACCATAAGAAACAAAGGCATGGGAAGCCATTGGAGACCAGAGGAGACTAAGGAGACAGGACAACAAAATGTTCCTCATCCTGGTTGTAGAGATGGTTTGCATGGTAAAAATAGGTTAAAACTTGTCATACATTCTTTAAGTATATGTAATTTATCATATGTTAATTAAAAACAAACCAAAAATGGTTAAATTTCACAGACAGTTAATAATACACTAATTATCCTACACAAACACATTCCCTTTACCTTTTAAAGGAAATGGCCACGTTTGCATGTGTGTGTGTTTATGTATACATACACTAGTGAGCCTCTGTGAAGAGGCCTGAGGTTGACCTTGTATGCCTTTCTTGATTGCTCTACACTTTATATACTGAAGCAAGATTTCTCTGGAACCTAGGGCACTCTGATTAGTGTACCTAGACAGCGTGCTCCAGGGATCCCATCTGTACCTCCAGTAAGCTGGGATCACAAAGGGGCCATCCACCACTTTGTACAGAAAGCACTTTTATCCACTGACCCAACTAGTGCAATGTTTAGTCATCTTTCTTAACATTTTATATTACTGAGAATATTTACTGCCTAGAAACCAAGGAGTAGAAGTATGATTTTTGAGGTCCTCACAGCCTAGCAGTTCCTCTACAAGCACAGAAGGATGATTACTAACTTAAACACTGTAACAACAGTTGAAGAGACAGCTCAGCAGCTAAGACACCAGAGCAGTGGGATTCCCAGCACCCACGTCAGACCACACATAGCTGCTTGTAACTCCAGCTCCAAGCACACACCCTCGTCTCACTTCCTCAGGCAGCCACACTCACAAGGTACATATATATAGACACAGATGCATTAAAAGTAAAAAAAAAGGTAAATAATTTTTTAAATGAAATTACTAATACTAATATCGTCTTTAATGAAAATAGATTTACACCAATATCCTTCAAATTTTTCATTTTTAGATGCTATCAATTTAACCCAAAGATAGGGAAATGAAATAATGATTTTTTAATATTCAAATTCAAAGTCTTAATTATTTAGGTATCATCTTAACACTTCACAGCCATTATCTTATATTTCAAACACATTATTTTATACATTCACTATTAACTCTCTTGATTTGTGGATGAATGAAGCTTTGTCTTTCCAAAAATTTAAATGTATATAAAATTGTGCCAATATTGAGTGCACTTAAAAGGATATGTGAGAAGTCTTTAGCAAAAAAAAAAAATTATGCATTTGCTCATGTGTATGTGGGTGAGTGCATGTGCACTGTTCCCAGTTGGTGGAACTATTTAGGAAGGATTAGGAGATGTGGCCTTGTTGATGGGGATGTGCCACTGGGGGTAGGCTTTGAGGTTTCAAAAGCCAGGCCAGGCCTCTGTCTCCAACTTGTGGATAGGAATGTAAGCTTTCAGTTCCAGCACCAGGCCAGTCTAGCTGCATGATCCCTGCCATGATAGTCATGAACTTCCCTCTGAAAATGTGCTACTAATTAAATGCTCTCTTCTTCAGTGTCTCTTCACAGCAAACAACAGTAACTAAGAGAAGCACCAAGGTAGGACAAGTGCTTCCCAAAGTTACTATTTTAAAGAGGACTCTCAATCTGATAGATCAAATTCTAGTAAAACTGTCTGCTAAAATAATGACTTTCTTTCTCAGAGTCATATTTCCTTGACTGTGGTTTAGTCTTGTTCAATGTATATAACTGATGCTAAAATGGAAAAGATGCACACAAATAGTGAATTAATAAATAAATATCTGGTTTGGCATGCACTTTTTGGATGAAGATATCTCTAAATATCTTTTGGGAATCTGTCCATCCTTATTTCAGATTCTACATTTCTGAGATGTAGATTCTGGTGACAGTGAGGCTGTGGTTTAATCCAGTCCAATCAACATGTTCCACTCCCATTTGCAATGACAGGTCTGTGATGGATGTGATTCAAGTGCTCTCATACACTGTAAAGATTTGTCACTCATATTGGTTTAATAAACACTGACTGGTTGGTAGCTAGACAGGAAGTATAGGCAGGGCAACTAGACTAAGAATTCTGGGAAGGGTAAAGGCAGAGAGATGCAGTAGTCAGCCAGATGCAGAGGAAGCAAGATAAGAATGCCTCATTGAGAAAAGGTACAAAGTCATATGCCTAAACAAAGATAAGAATATGGTTAACTTAAGTTGCAAGAGCTAGTTAATAATAAGCCTGAGCTAATGGTACAAACAGTTTATAATTAATATAAGCCTCTGTGTGTTTCTCTGAGACTAAATGGCTGCAGGACCAGGAGGGACAGAAACTTCTGTCTACATCCAAGTGCAAACACCAGGACTTCTAAAGGAAGTGTCTGCTGAGCTAATGGAGGTAAGGTTGGAAGCCCTGGCTGCTCTTGGGCATGAAGAAAAACCCACTCAGAGGCAGCACTCTGATTGAGGTGGGGAACTGGAATTCTGGTAGCAATTTTGAAACATTTCTAAAACAGCGCTGACTGAAGTAGATGCCCCTGGACTCTGGCTTTTCTGCTTATGAGAGCAGGAGGCAGTCTTTTATCACCCATGTGGGGACAATTTCAATACACTGGATATTTTCCTTTGATAAGTAACCATAATATCGACTTTGTGAAAGGTCAACACAAAGTTTGCTTTCTTAAATTAAACTCTTGAGTTCTGGGATGTAGTAGAAGTGCTGGTGTTCTATCAAACATCATGGAAAATGACTGCCTCTCTAGACAGTACTTTTAAAGTCTTTAGGATTTCAGGTCCATTTCTCAGGTGTCACCATGACTGAAAATTTAGAGTCAGTTAAAAACAAACAAACAAACAAACAAACAAATAGCTGACCCTAATCCCAAAAGAGTTGAGACAACAGGCTTATACAACCAGTAGTGCATCTTAATACAGACATGGCTTATGTTTTCCTGCCATAAGAAGGCTGTCTTTTGATAAATAAAATGGACAGGTTTCTTCCCTAATATGCCCCCCTGAGAGTCTGGGCTATAAAGGAAGGAACAGGATTGTGCCTTTTATTATGCCTGTGTATTATGTTCCTACAAGTACTGGGGTTTTTAACTTTGACTGGGTATTTAATAATAGAATTAACTGTGTGGCCTTGTAAAGATATCAAACCCCGATGAGAAGGCACGCAGAGAATGCACCCATCAGTTCCTCATCACTTCCAGAGGACACTGCTTACACACATCTGCTGCAGCTCTGCTCTGCAAGGCAACCTGGTTCCAGGGTGTGGAGTGGTGGGGTGGAGTGTGGTTGGGGAGAACTTGCTGGGAAGATAGCCAGAGAAGTTTTACAAACAGATCCTTGGACACCTAATAAGAAATTTCAGGGCATAAATGAATGGTCTGAGTACCCCCAAATAGTTCCAATCTGAAAGCACTAATAGTGTCACTACAAACAATACCAAGAAACCAATGGTGAATCCCAGTTTTTAATCTCAGCATTGGAGGCAGAGGCAGGTGCACTCTGTTCAAGACCAGCCTAGTCTACAGAATGAGTTCCAGGACAGCCAGAGCTACATAGAGAAACCCTGTCTCTAAAAACAAAACAAAACAAAACTACAAAAAAAAAAAAAACCAAATATCAAGGCACTAACTATGGCTGGACAATGCTGCCCTGGAGTGGAAGCTGCCAAGTCAGGAAGTAGAACTGTAGCTGCTTTTGCTTTCCAAAGGTGATCAAGCAACGGCTGGTCTGCAAAGTATGGTGGAAAATAATTCTGCAACACTCAGAAAGGACTATTTTTCCTGGGGAGGGGGAGGTTAATTTTGGGAAAAGAAAAAACCTAAGCTCAAGAAGAGGAAAATGTGCACCCAAAAATACCAACACAAAGCTCATCACTCTTAACTTGTACATGTTAGTCTTTAACACATGCATTTCCACCTATGCCAGGAAGCGGGGCAGTGTTCTCACAGGGCTCCACAATCTTAGTGAGAGCGGCTGACATTAGCTAGGTGGATAATGTGGGTATGAAAAGTTACCAACTACATGCTCTGCAAGTTTTATAATTAACTCAATTTTAAAACTTACAACATACACACCACAAAACCTCCCTAGTGCCCAATACTCAAGGCAGGGAAAGGATTATGCTTTCTTGTTCCACCAGGTGGTCTGAGGGGTTAAACTTGGGTCCTCAGGATTGAAGGCAAAAGCTTTAGCTCACTGAGTCATCTTACTGGTCCTATACTATTTTAAAGCGCTGTCTTAAGGAAAGGAAATATTTCGTTTTTGAAACAAGCCCAACTTCCTTGTTTGTACCTATCTTCAGTTTGGTTCTGAGTTTCAACATGTAGGATTATCTTCATAATGTCAGTTTCTTTCTCATTTGGAGAAACTTCCTGTAACAGAGTCTTCTGAATTTACAAGCCACTTCAAAAGCAATGTTTCCTTAAAACTTCTTCAACAGCATTTAAGTTAAAAAAAAGAAAAAAGAGTAAGGAGGGACAGCTCACCACGACGACCCCTTTCCCACCTGAAAGCGGGCTGGTCACTGCACTTACCACTTTCTCCTTGGATCTCAGGACTCCCAGCTTCCCAAAGCGCACGTGAAAAGGTGAGCACTGATAGGTGCCATCCTGCTGTCGCACCACGACAACATCGATGCACCCAGACAAAGTGGCTTGGTTAATGCCCTTGTAGAGTTCCTTCACAGTGACGAGCACCTGCCCAGCCAGCTGGCCCACATAATTCATGGTTTGAGACTGTAAGAAAATAAAGATGATATCAGCACTGAATTTGACAATAACAATGACAAAAAAAAGTTTTAATTAAACATATACTCTTGTTTGCTATTCAGGGCCCATTCCTTTCCTGCTGCTTCTGTGGTCACACACCACAAGGACAGACATCTGACTGGGAGGCTGCCTCTAGGTGGGGCCTGAGGCTGCGGAAGTTCCATTTCCTTTTACATTCCCAGGGTGGAGCCCACTGTCATCAGGGAGCCCACCTGCTCTATCTCTTTCCACCACCAGCTCAGGACCCGAAGAGAAGCAACTGAAGAGCAGTCACAGCTGCACTCCTGCCAGGGCCCTGGAACCTGCTACATCCACTCTGACCACAGCAGCCAAGCAGAAAAGGCCCAGGGGGATCAGTCCTCCACCAGAAATAAAGGATGCGATTGATAGTTGAGATGTTATGGTTCAGATACATGCTGCATCAAACTACAGTGAGCTTCCCTAGGACTAACACATGCTGACACTATTTTCCAGGGAAACCCCTTCAGTACCTCAGCACAACCCAATGGGGCATACGCTTGTGTCCCACAATATTCAGAGCACAAAAAGGGCTTTTAATTTGTTTCTCACTACTCAAATCATGATCACTAGAGCTCTGCAATTTGAAGGAGAGGTTCACCTAAACCTGGCTTTACCTCCCACCCCCATTCTTCCACGGGAAAACCCAATCCGTACAGAAACAAACCCCCTAATCCTTAGGCTCAGGTCTCATTCCGGTGCTTAAGCACACCATCACTCAGAGGACACTTTAATGTTATGCCAAAGCCAAATCCACGGAAAGCCCTTCCCCTTGAAGTAGGATCAGAGAAACCCTTCAGTTCACGGCTAATCCAGAAGTCAATTTTTATCAGACTCCAGGAGTGACAAGTCCCAGCTCCTGACCATGCGCACAGTGGTCTCTTTAGACCAGCTCTGGAGTTGCCCTAAGCTCAAAGTTCCATCTCTGCTAAGTTCTAGAGACATTCTGTGTTGTCAGGTAAGTCCTAGGGAGAACAGGGACAAAGCACTGATCCATTGAGAAAATGAAGGGGACCTGCCAGTTCCTGTCTGACACAACTCAGCCTACTCTCCAGAGCTGGGCAGTGCTTGGGCAGCACAGATTCCACTCAGCAGTCTACATAGAGATGACTATACCACAATCTACCTGCTTGGCAGCCTGAGACATATAATCCTAATTGTTTCCTTGGGTATTTATATGACCAAGGCTTCAAATTGCGCATACCAAAGAGCTGGCTTTGAGCAACATACACCAGGAGCTAAATTTATTACAATCTCCTAAGGTGGAGTCCTTTATGTTATAATCATGAAACAATCACAGGCTGGTAGCTTTGGATTTAGGATTACTTACTATCAAAGAATTGGCTTTGATAGTAAGGCCAGGTTAAGCATACATCAAATATGCAATTTTTAAATTTTTACTTTATTGAGACAGGGTCTGATTGTGTAGTCCTGGCTGGCCTGAAACTACGGAGATAGACTAGGTAGCTTTGAGCTCACAGAGATCTGCCTTCCCCTGCCTCCTGAATGCTGGGATTAAAGGTTATGTCACCACGCCTGGCCAATCTCTCTCCAGGGTCTCACTTTGTAGCCCAAATTGGCCTCGAACTCAAGGCCAAATAAAATCCTATTTTAGCCTCTCAAATGATGGGCTTACAGCTGTGTGCCACTGTATCTGACAGTAATTACTTCTTGAACAAAGAAAGGAAAAAAAAATCAATGAACTACCAATACATAAGCTAAGACCAATCAATAAGCTAAAAACATGCACTGTGTGTGGCAGAAACACTGCTCCATCAGAATACTCACGGATCATCTCACTGTATCTCTTTCTTCTTCATCTTTTTGTCTGTTTTGTTTGAGATGGTCTCACTATGTAGCTGTGTGTGTCTGGAATTCACTCTGAGGACCCTACTGGTCTTGACTCACAGAGATCCACTTGCCTCTGCCTCTTGATTTCCACTAGGCCTGACTGATTATATTTTTAAAAATTAGCCTTTCTAGATCAGAAGTTCAAGGACAGCCTGAACTATCTCCAAAACACCAAATAAACAAATGAATTAGCAAACTTTCTTTCTACTGTGAGACCAGTGTAGATTTCAGAATTCTAAGAAAGAACACAGCTACATCCAAAGCCTCTACTGAGTGCCCTCCACTTGGGATGCACCAGCAAAACATCACAACCAGTGTTGTCTTCTCCCCAGTTCCTAGCAACCATTAATATGTCCTCTATTTCTGAAATGTCTGTCATTTTAGAAAGGAAGTCATATAAACAGCACCATAACTATGTAGTCTTTTAGGACTGCCTTCTTTCCCTCATTTTTTTCTGAAGACTTATCCATACGGCTGTATCAATAACTCATTTCATTTTCCTACTACATAGCATTTCATGGCATAGACTTATCATTAAAACAAAACACAACACAACAAAACAAAATCCCTTTACTTGCTGAAGGACAACTAACTGCATTTCTGGCTATTACAAAGTTCTAAGTATCTGTGCACAGGTCTGTGTGAATGTGCATTTTCATATTCTAGGACAAATGCCTAGGAGGACAACTGAGTGCAAACCAAGTGCAGGCTTAGCTGCCTTGGAGCTGTAAGACTACCACTTTCCAGGATCACACTACCATTTCACATTCCCACCAGCAATGGGAGGTGGGAGGTGAAATTATCTGGCATCCTCATGATATGTGGCATACTGCTTCCTCTAGCCTTAACAATATATAATGATTTGCATTTCTTTAATAGCTAATGATGTTGAACATTCTTTTCATGTACTGCTCTGCCACGTGAGTGTCTGTCTACAGTTTGAAAGAGTCCTTTTCTCAGAGGGCAATGAAATGCAGATCTTTGTTCCCACTTCTGTGGGCAAAGACTATCTCTAACCAGAACCAATGTGAAGTTCATCTGGAGGTAGTTCATCATATCACCTCCTCTCCCAGGAAGTGTTTCTCTGCCACCTAGAATGTTCTGAGTTGCTCTGTTGTGTAAATCACTCATGTTCAGGACATGCTCTTTTGCCTGTTGCAACACATGAGCTAGGTGGCACACAGAGTCAGTATTACAGACTGACTGATGATGGCAATGCTAAAATGTTACAATTTGTAAAACAAACAGACAAAAAAACAAAACAAAAAAACTGTAACAGTATAGACCTTAAAAAAGAAACTGAAAACAGCAAATTTTAAACATCAGCCATAAACAATCATGTTCTAAGTGTAGCAAGCGCACATCAACTAAAGCATATAACTCATAACTAAGTCTAACAACATCTATTCGTGACGACTTTAATTACTGTGGCTAAGAGCTGTGCTGTTATACATAAAATAACTATTGTACAAAAGTTAGTTGCTAAATGTAGAAAAATACAGGCTGTCAAGAAACTCATTTTCTCTTGGACGACATGAAGCCATTGGGTTTGTATTTTGTAGGCTGAGAAAACAAAAACAGATGGAGGCCAGGGCCTTAACATGTACTACACCCCAGAAATGGCCAGGAGCAACCTGTCGACTACACAATACATCTAATAACAGAACTTTCAGAGAGCTCACTACACCCCAACGTAGACTATTTTGAGACAAGATTTCACTGTCTGTCTGGACTGTGCTGGAACTATGTAGACTAGGTTAGCCTCAAATTCACAGACCTGCCTCTGCTTTCAGAGTGCTAGGATCAGAGGTGTGCACCACCATGCCTGCAAATAGATTTTAAAAGATAAGGAAGCTCAAACGTCAGAGACATAGGTGATGTTATAAGGTGGATACTTATGTGTGTCTCCTCCCCACCCCTACTCCATGTACCGAGGCCCTCACCTCTCAAATGAAGGGATTTGGAGATGGGCCTTTGGAACGTAACCAGGGTTAGGTGAGGTCATGAAGGTCCTTATATACACAGAGAGACAGAGCAAGAGTCAGCAATCTCTTTTACCCTGTCATGTGAGGACATAACAAGATACTGGCAAGTCTATAAAAAGGTGCCCCCCGCAACACATACATTGAACCTCTCAGCAACTCAGCCTTGGATTTCAAGCCACACCAGATTTGTAATAAACGTTTACTGTGTAGTCCACATTAGTTTAGGTCAGATGCTATCCATGACATTCTGTTCAACCTTCCTAAGTGTCTTCTTAAACAGCAAATGCTGCAGTCACTTCAGCTCCAAAATAGATACTGGGATGCAGTAAGCATCGATGAGTGACCCAATCTGATTAGACGGGCAAAAAGGGGCATATGTGGCAGGGAACTTCCTGTTAAGGGTTTGTTTGGGTTTTTTTTTTGTTTTTTTTTTGTTTGTTTGTTTTTTGTCTTAGAACTAGCTCTTGTAGACCAAGCTGGCCTCGAACTCAGAGATTCACCTGCCTCTGCCTCCTGAGTGCTGGGATTAAAGGTGTGCGAAACCACTGCCTGGCAAGGTATAATTTAAAGAGTTACTATACATGATCAAAATTCTTACCATTTATACTATTAACTTAAAGAATTACTATACATGATCAAAATTCTTACCGTTCCAGCCGTTTTCTAAAATAGAACTTCCCTTCCATTTACAAAAGCACTTAATGACTAATTATGAAGGTAAGCCAAGTTAGGCAGTCACAGCCCCACGTGAATGCCAAGAGTCTCTGTTAATCTTTGCTACTTCTGCAATTAGTCTGTCATAAAACTGACGAACAACATGTACAGCCTTAGGCACTGTTTTGTGCCTTTCTCACAGGGAAGCTTTAGAATCCTTGAGCTGGTGTCTGGGGCTCCAGGCACACCTCCTGGGAGAACAGGCTTTAGTCAGTTAGAGGTGCGCTTGGAGGATCCCTGCAGCTTCTCACTTCTCTTTTCCTCTAACTGAAGGAAAACAGCAAGGACTATGCCCTAGGTCTGTATTTCTCAGAGGGTCTGTTATGATTCTGACCAACACCTAGGCTCAGAAACTTCCTGCAGGTTCTAGTCTCGTAACCTCTCCTTTTAATCTTGATT